TTTGGGTTCAACATGTAAGAAGTAGAAAGTACAGGTATTTGGGTTCAACATGTGAGAAGTAGAAAGTACAGGTATTTGTGTTCAACATGTAAGAAGTAGAAAGTACAGGTATTTGGGTTCAACATGTAAGAAGTAGAAAGTACAGGTATTTGTGTTCAACATGTAAGAAGTAGAAAGTACAGGTATTTGGGTTCAACATGTAAGAAGTAGAAAGTACAGGTATTTGTGTTCAAAATGTAAGAAGTAGAAAGTACAGGTATTTGTGTTCAAAATGTAAGAAGTCAAATTAAAAAGTGGTCAGAAAAATAAGTAGTGGAGTAAAGTACTGATACCAGAAGAATGTACTTACAGTAACGAAGTATTTGTACTCCAATACTTCCCACCTCTGGATATTTGGGATTTAGGCTCAATGATAATGTAGTAATAGGAGGCTGTGGCTCAGTTTGTTAGTGTGCTGGTTCAATTCCTACTGCAGTCAGCATGTTATTGAGTCCTTGGGCAGGACACTTCACCCCAAAAGCATCTACCAAGTAACATGACATGTAGTCTTGTTTCGGTTAAATGTGAAAACGTATTTGTCTTCACACCATAGCCTCTTTTACAGGGCAGTAATATATGCTATATGCTACATGCTACATGCTAGGCCTGGGTTCATTAGCTTGTTGTGGAGCCTGCAGTTGTTCAAAAATACCAACTATTGCTGCATTTATTGTATTTTAAACATGTGCAAAGAAGGTCATGTTTTCAGTTTCATTTGATGGTTTGTTAGTCCATCATAAGGACTTAAGGAAACGCTACTGGCTCTGACTCTCAGGCAACTTGGTGTAGCATTGGCTAAAGAAACAATCATTATTATATAATATTATTTAAAAGTTAGAGCAACGATAGAGAAAGAAGTAAGTGCTTCAAGTTGCAGATACACTTCGAGATTGACAAGAAGAAGAAGAAGAAGAACTCTGCCACTAATTTTCTTCTTCTCTTGTATGGGAACAGCGGACGTGCTTCTCATAACAATGAGGAGTTATATTTAATTTCATAGCTGACTGAGGCACACACACACACACACACACACACACACACACACACACACACACACACACACACACACACACACACACACACACACACACACACACACACACACACACACACACACACTTGTTATCTCAAACAAGTGCCTTTACATCTAGACAGTGCACTCACACAAACACACAAAAGAATATTCTGTACATTCGCTCTCACAGAAACCAAATCATTACTCATGCGGATCCACACAGTGGGTATTTCATGTGTCTTCCATATTATGCAAATGTTCAACACAGACTGAACACAAAGGCGCACACACACGCACGCACACACACGCACACACACACGCACACACGCACGCGCACGCGCACGCACTCGCGCACGCACGCACGCACGCACTCGCACTCACGCACGCACGCACGCAGGCACGCACGCACACACACGCACACACACACGCACACACGCACTCGCACGCGCACGCACTCGCGCACGCACGCACGCACGCACTCGCACTCACGCACGCACGCACGCAGGCACGCATGCACACACACACACACACACACACACACACACACACACACACACACACACACACACACACACACACACACACACACACACACACACACACACATAATGGAGCGCTGCTGGAGGAGAGACAGACGATGAACTGCAGATGAACTCCAGGTTTGATTTGATTCACTTTCAGGATATTTCTGTAGTGATCATGAAGACATTTGTTTTATCGCCATTTAATCATTGGTTAGCCTCGAAGATGTGACGAGCACGAGGTACGTATAGATAAGTGCATTTATGTGATAATATTTATGATTGACAACAGTTTAGTAAAAGTACTCAGATCTTGTACTTGAGTAAAAGTAGAAGTACTCAGATCTTGTACTTGAGTAAAAGTAGAAGTACTCAGATCTTGTACTTGAGTAAAAGTAGAAGTACTCAGATCTTGTACTTGAGTAAAAGTAGAAGTACTCAGATCTTGTACTTGAGTAAAAGTATAAGTACTCAGATCTTGTACTTCAGTAAAAGTAGAAGTACTCAGATCTTGTACTTGAGTAAAAGTACTCAGATCTTGTACTTGAGTAAAAGTAGAAGTACTCAGATCTTGTACTTGAGTAAAAGTAGAAGTACTCAGATCTTGTACTTGAGTAAAAGTAGAAGTACTCAGATCTTGTACTTGAGTAAAAGTAGAAGTACTCAGATCTTTGTACTGAGTAAAAGTACTCAGATCTTGTACTTGAGTAAAAGTAGAAGTACTCAGATCTTGTTACTTGAGTAAAGTAGAAGTACTAAGATCTTGTACTTCAGTAAACGTAGAAGTACTCAGATCTTGTACTTGAGTAAAAGTAGAAAGTACTCAGATCTTGTACTTGAGTAAAAGTAAGTAGAAGTACTCAGATCTTGTACTTGAGTAAAGTAGAAGTACTCAGATCTTGTACTTGAGTAAAAGTAGAAGTACTCAGATCTTGTACTGAGTAAAAGTACTCAGATCTTGTACTTGAGTAAAAGTAGAAGTACTCAGATCTTGCTACTTGAGTAAAAGTAGAAGTACTCAGATCTTGTACTTGAGTAAAAGTAGAAGTTCTCAGATCTTGTACTTCAGTTAAAAGTTAGAAGTACTCAGATCTTGCTACTTCAGTAAAGTAGAAGTACTCAGATCTCTGCTACTTCAGTAAAAGTAGAAGAGTACTCAGATCTTGTGCTTCAGTAAAAGTAGAAGTACTCAGATCTTGTACTTGAGTAAAAGTTAGAAGGTACTCAGATCTTGTACTTCAGTAAAAAGTAGAAGTACTCAGATCTTGTGCTTCAGTAAAAGTAGAAGTACTCAGATCTTGTACTTGAGTAAAGTAGAAGTACTCAGATCTTGTACTTCAGTAAAAGTAGAAGTACTCAGGTCACTCTTAATCTGTTGTATCTTCTATTTGAGATGTATTTGTATAATTGTTTATTTTCTACTATTTTTCTATTTTCTAATTATGTGCAATACTTTGTTTTTACATGCTGCTGCAACTAAACATGTCCCAATGTTGGATTTATTAAGTAAATGTTATCTTAAGTACTTCAGAACAACTGGAAATGTGCTGTTTTCTCTGACCTGAAAACGCACGAGAAAACTCCAGAACTTTCAACTTTAAAAAACGTAAAAGTACGATTTTCATTAAACTGATTAATATTTAATTATGTAAATGAATCTCTGATAGGATTTATTTTTGAGTTTCTTCTGAATTGCTTCTTAAATAAGTTCCTTAACATAACCTGAATCAATAATACATTTCAGAGTGTGTATAATTCAGCTCTCAGTGGATGACTAAAAACTGAAGGAGGTGAAATAAGGAAACGACTATCTGTCCGTTTAAACCTCACGTATACTTCGACAAAGTGCAGCATCATGATGGGATGTGAGATATCCAGGAGAGGTTTTCACTGTGGAAGATTCAGGCTTCACCTCCTCCTCCTCTTCACCTCCTCCTCCTCTTCATCACCTCCTCCTCTTCATCTCCTGAGCTGAAATACAATTGACTTCCTGATGCAAGGTTAAATGAGTTTGGTGTCAATTCTCTGCAGGGAAAGAGAGACGTGGAGAGAGAGGAACATTTAATATGTCGACTGATTGTCTCCACATCATGCTGTGTGTGTTTGTGTGTGTGTGTGCGTGTGTGTCTGTCTCTGTGTGTGTTTGTGTGTGTGTGCGTGTCTGTCTCTGTGTGTTTGTGTGTGTGTTTATGTGTGTTTGTGTGTGTCTGTCTCTGTGTGTGTGTGTGTGTGCGTGTCTGTCTCTGTGTTTGTGTCTGTCTGTGTCTGTCTCTGTGTGTTTGTCTCTCTGTGTGTGAGTGTTTGTGTGTGTTTGTGTGTGTCTGTCTGTCTGTCTGTCTGTGTGTGTGTGTTTGTGTGTTTGTGTGTGTCTGTCTGTGTGTGTTTGTGTGTGTGTGTGTGTTTGTGTGTGTCTGTCTCTGTGTGTGTGCGTTTATGTGTGTTTGTGTGTGTCTGTCTGTGTTTGTCTCTGTGTGTTTGTCTCTCTGTGTTTGTGTGTGTGTGTTTGTGTCTGTCTCTGTGTGTGTCTGTGTGTTTGTCTCTCTGTGTGTGTTTGTGTGTGTGTGTGTTTGTGTGTGTCTGTCTCTGTGTGTGTGTGTTTGTGTGTGTCTGTCTCTGTGTGTGTGTGTTTGTGTGTGTGTGTGTCTGTCTCTGTGTGTGTGTGTGTTTGTGTGTGTCTGTGTGTTTGTGTGTGTCTGTCTCTGTGTTTGTCTGTGTTTGTCTCTCTGTGTGTGTTTGTGTGTGTTTGTGTTTGTGTGTGTCTGTCTCTGTGTGTGTGTGTGTGTGTGTGTGTTTGTGTGTGTGTGTGTTTGTGTGTGTCTGTCTCTGTGTGTGTGTGTGTGTGTGTGTGTTTGTGTGTGTCTGTCTCTGTGTGTGTTTGTCTCTCTGTGTGTGTGTTTGTGTGTGTGTGTGTGTGTGTGTGTCTGTCTCTGTGTGTGTGTGTGTGTGTTTGTGTGTGTCTGTCTCTGTGTGTGTTTGTCTCTCTGTGTGTGTGTTTGTGTGTGTGTGTGTGTTTGTGTGTGTGTGTGTGTGTGTAGAATAAAAAAAATAATAATGAACTGAGTCTGGAGCAGATCAGAACACAGGGGACAGGAAACAGATCAGATTCAGATGTTAAAAATCAGCTTTTGAATTTTGTACAACCGTAATGTATATATGTTTCTGTTATTGTGGTATATGTCCATCTCCTTAATCTTATCACATTTCAATTAAATAGTATTTAAGACTTAACATTTAAAAACATAAATAAATTATCTTAAAAATCGAATTGGTAGTAAAACAAAATAGGAATACATTTCTGTGACACTCAGATATCCCATAATAGGCAGGTTCAGGTTCAGGGTCAGGGTCAGGTTCAGGGTCAGGGTCAGGTTCAGGTTCGGCCAATGACAGACAGAAAGTGAGATGTGTTTTGTTGTACTGTTTTA